CGGGTAACATATCACTCCGCCTCTTCGTTATCTTCAAATCTCTTTCCAAATCCATCTCTTTTGAATTTACACTAACTAACCTATTGTATTCGAGATTTATAATTTGTTTAACACTTTATTAACTTTCTTTTATGTTTTTGTTTTTGTGTGAGAAGAAACACAACATCATTATTTAATTACCATATTATTATTTTTAATGTGAAATTTTTGTGGGTATCCACAATCAACCCGCACCAACCCGCAGCGGGTAGTGGTTACCCACTGCGGGGCGGGTTGTGGGTAGCATAATTCTATATTTGTGGATGTGGTTACTTGCAAAATGTGGGGCGGGTAACCAATTTCCACCCCTAATGGTAATGATTAGCGCTCTAGATAGCGCTTCCACTGGGGATGACAATCAAACCCATGGCCGCGGGTAACAGACCGCCCCCGACCCAGTCAACACGGGAATCCATGTTTTGACCGGGTATGGGTAAAATCCGCAAAAATTTTGATGGGTATGGGGCGGATATGATTTTAGCCTGCCCCGCCCCATACCCATACCCGCCCCACCAATAAATTTTTTTCATATATAAAAAAATATGTGCATCAAATTGTAATTTATCAATGATGATGAGGATAACTTGAGAAAACAAATAATAGAAATGCAACTGAATGACCACCTTATCAAAACCTAATTCATTTCTCTCGATTCTCCTTTCACTCTTTCACTTTCCCCCTTGTCAACAAGATTAGGTTAGTTAATTATTACTTAGTAGATGTATCAGAGTTAGAATATAATAATTTGAAAAATATTATACTCTATATTATGTATTAATGGATATTTTAGAATCATATTCTTTGAATCATATTAAAAAAATGAATGTGTTTTGTTGACTTCATTAGGGATGGCAATTTTGCCCATACCCATGAGTATTTTATTATCCAACCCATTGGGTTGGGTATGGATTCCAAATAAATGGTAGATGGGTAGAGTTTGATGGATTTGTACCCATACCCATTTACTTGGGTTGGGTTGGGTTTTTAACACATGGATTTGGGTTTGTACCATGCCCAAAGACAAATTACAGTTTGGTACCTAAACTTAATAGATATGCAGATTTAGTACCTAATTTTTTTTTGCATATAAGTTCTCAAAATATCGATGAAAAATTACTTTTGATACCTAAAATTTTTTGGTCTTACATTTTGGTACCTAAACTTTTCAAGTTTTACAAATAGGTCCAATTTTTGTGTGTAGTTAAAAGTTAAAACACCCTCAAGTAAATGGATATCCATATCCAACCCATACCCATTTACATTATGAAAGCAATATCCATACCTAACCCAAACTCATCTACAAACCCCCAAACCCATATACACTTCATCCAAACCCTACCCATACTAAATGGATCTATTTGAATTTGGGTAAAATTACCCATGGGTGGGTAATTGCCATCCCTAGACTTCATGATATAATATGTTCGTTTCGAGTTATAATTAAAACTTTTCTTGTAAGTTTTAGGTATAATAATGTTGAATGTACGGGTATAGATATTACCCATGGGTACCCGAAACCCACAGGTATGAGGATGGATTTGCAAAACATTCCCCACATGAGTATGAGGCGAATATGAATTTGGAAATTTGCAAATGGGGATGGGGATGGTTTAGGCCCGCCCATTGCCATCCCTGGCTTCCACTAACACTAAATCTAATAGCACTACGACGTTTCGCACTCTATGGTTGGGCCGGAGTTACTCCCCAAGTCCCAAGTCCAAAAAAGGAAAGAAGATATTCCTGACCACCCACTCTCTGCGTCTGTGTTTGAATCGTCGATGGGAATGCCTTTCGCCCTGAGGCTATCGTTTCCTGGCTTTGCATTTGAATCGTCGACGACCAGCGGCAGGCGGAGAGCTCATCGTTTCCCGTTCCGTTTCCTCTCTTCCCCCCTACAGTCCAATCCTCAGGATCCCGCAGAAGAAGAAGAAAACTTCGGGAAAGAGAGGTGAGTGAAAGAACTGCGAACGCTTCTTCTTCGTGCGGTCCTTGCTCAAATGGATGTAAACTTTGAGTGATTCGGTATGGAGTAAAGCAGACGCTAGATATCTCACTGTTTACTTATTGCGGCGTTTTCCTTACTACTACAATAGCGTTCGTCGCCGGAAACAGTCGATTTTAGTGGAGAGATACAGCAATGGAGCTATCAAAAGGTAAGTTGCTCAAATTAGCTATATAATAATTATCTGTTCCTGTTTGGTATACTCTGGTGGAATAGGATTTTCGGATTTGATTTTTTTCTTTGGAATCATCAGATACATTTTGGATGATGAAGTAGGAGTAAGAATCTCTCTCACCGAAGATGTGGCCAATAATAAATTTGGAGCCCTAGACTCGTCTGTCCCTGAGACAAAACAACCATCGGTGCTTCCTCAGTTTGTCGCCAATTTTGTTCTACCTGCTGGCTTTCCAGGTGCACAGCGTTCTCTTAGATTCCCTTCATTTTGGTTGCCCTTTGTGTTCTTCTTTTGTTTTCATCCTGTATTTGTTTCTTTCCTTCAACTGACCATTTGAAACTCTTGAATTGATACATTGTCTTGAATCGTTCTTCTCCATGGCTCTTTTGATTGCTACTGAAACTGTTGTGTGACTACGTATTTCCGGATTATGATAATGTGACGTCTGAAGAGTGGAAAAGATCGATATAGTACATTTTGGAATCACAACCTGTCAATTTCCTCAGACACTAATAGTCTTCATCTTTGGCTCTCCTGTAATTCTAGGATCAGTTTCAGAAGATTATTTGGAGTACATGTTGTTACAATTCCCCACTAATGTCACTGGATGGATCTGCCACGCATTAGTCACGTCAAGTCTTCTTAAGGCATGTGAATCTAACTCAGGCAGTTAACTTTCCTTGGGGTATGTTGCTAGGAATCAAAACTCCTTACCCACTTGTCTTTCGTTTTTAATATTTTTATAGCTTGTATTGTATCCTGATTCGCATAACTTTGGGTCCAATGTTTGCCTGTGCTTATTATATAAGCTACTTCGAATGAAATTCTGCAGGGCGTTGGTGTTGGCTACTCTACAGGAACTGCTGCTGCTGCAACAGCTGCTGCAATTAGGTGAATCTATGGTCTACTCAGCTTCTGCAAATGAGGGTCTGGAATATAAGTTTTTAAACATGAGATTCTTTTGTTCTTGTAGATGGGTGTCTAAGGATGGCATTGGAGCTTTGGGTCGCTTGTTCATAGGTTTGGAAATTTGATTGAAGAACTGCTAATTGAAGAAGATATCTTTTTTGGGAATTTATGGTTAAAATCTTTGCTTCCTGCCAGGTGGACGATTTGGCAATCTTTTTGATGATGATCCTAAACAATGGCGCATGTATGCGGATTTCATCGGGAGTGCTGGAAGGTTGGTATGATGGCAAACCTTTTTGATTTGTGTTTTTGAAGCATATAATCAATCGGATCAGAAAATGACCTATTATTTTGAAATTTTATATTATAGCATCTTTGACCTCACCACCCAATTGAATCCAGCCTACTTCCTTCCATTAGCGTCTCTTGGAAATCTGACCAAGGTATTCCCTTCTGTGAGGCCCAAAGTGTTCACTTTAGGAACCTTTTATTTCAGTTACTACCATCATGTCCTTAGTTACAGAAATGGAAATGTGACTCTGACATACTTGCTTTCTTTGTCATCTTTTAATGAATTGAGGATGTCTACTTATTCTTCTTGAGACTACCATTCACCAGGCTGTAGCAAGGGGGCTCAAAGATCCTTCATCCCGTGTGATCCAAAGCCATTTTGCTGCATCTGGAAATCTAGGGGAGGTAGCTGCCAAGGTATATGCTTGTAGTGTCGGCGGATCAAGCGTTATGCTATAATCTGCTCATGGTGAACAGGCAAACGAAAGACTTGGAGGTCTTTGTCTCGTTCAAGGTAAAAACACTTGGAGGTGACATGGCAATAATAAGCTGGTGATTTTTTACTGGGGTATCGACATAGAGAGCATCATTTTGATGAAACATAGAATCTGTCGGCAGGTGGGAGCTACAAGCATGTCGGTACTACGAAGTGTGTGGCAGACATACTGGCTACTTGTGAACTGGGAACAACATTCTCTTGATGTTTTTTACCAGCTTGCTAAATCCCACAAGGAGATGGAGACCAATTTTGACAATTTCCTTGAGCAATTGGGTCAAGCCGGATGGGACACAAACCAAATCAATCTGAAGGTCCCCGGCGGAATACTGATCGATGAATCAGGCTTCATTCAATCTTCTCAAGGCCAGGTTTGACTTCCCTCATGGACCTGATAAAAGCTTTGGTAGCACAAGGAAGAAGATTCTAATTAGTACGAGGTGGCAAGAAGCCAAGAACCCAGAGTTGAGTTAGCTTGTCCAACTCTTTAATTCAACTGCCGTCCAATTGTAATAATCTCTTGTCTCTTTCCAAATTATGAAATTTCGTCTGTTCATCAACATTTCGGAATGATTGGTTTCCTTGTGCCAGGGGGTTAACTACCGTTTCTGTTTATCTACTTATCATTTCGTGGCTGGGCAGAGAGAGCTTTGCTTTGGGATGACTTGCAGGTTTTTCTGAACTTTGGCGGGTGGTCTTCGTTAAGCTCCTAAAACACACCATTTCAGCCTCAGGTAATGCAAATTTCATTAGTTTAGTAGTAGTTGCCCTCCAATTGCCAAAATGGTGGTACAATAAAATAATTGATCTTTACGTTTGGGTTTTGCTTCCAGAATCGCTATTTTTATTTTGTCTCCAACGAAAGCCTCCAAAATACGAGTGAAAATCATGGCCCTCCACTTAGAATGATTTATCCAATCCAATATGATATATTAAATTCCCGCCCTCACTTGTCTAATGAGCTTCTTGATTCATTATTGTGAGTTGTGACAAGGAATAACAAGGGTAAATAAAATCATTAGATCCCTGTCCTATTAACGAGCTTGTTTTTTTCTTCTTCTTCTTTAACGCGTGTTTAAAATCCCAACTCCTTTTTTTATTATCTATATAGTATATATTGTCTGTTTTTGGTCTAGTTTGTACGATTTTATTTATTTATTTTGCATATCATGGTGACTTTCTAAGAGATCATCTATCATTGGCTTGCAATCGTTTAATTTCAGAGTTTTGTAAAAACTCTTCCATTTTGACCTTATAATGTGTATTGTCTGTTAAAATTGGATTGTTTTCATTAATCGTGAATCTCTCCTGTGCTTTGTCGATGCGGGATTTGCTTAAGGTGTTAAATTATATCCACTTTGCCTACGATATCACTTGAACATCTCATCCCTTTTCTGATCAAGATATTGTTTGTTTTTGGCCATCTCTCTCATGGTTTTGCTTTTGAGGTGAACTGACAACGCTGAAATTAACGTGGTCAGAGTAAAGCAGTGCATAGATGGATGATCTTTTGAGAAGTCATCATAAATCATGCACTCAAAATAAAAATTGCACCATAGATCCAAACCAAATTAATATCTTGGTTAGAAAAGGTTGGGATATTACATCTTTAATTAATTATGACAAAAGGAAATTATTTTTTTACTATTATTGTAGAAACGGCTCAATTAGCTAAAACAGTGTATAATTGTCCAGATTGAATGAACCTGTTGACGAATGCGAAGTGGTTAAACAAGGGAATTAATAACTAACTAACTAACCAATCACGGTAACAAGTCGGAGTCGTTTAAATGCAATATATTTTGATCTTTCATTTGACACTGAGTGGAATGGTTTATGCAGATGAATCATTACCCCAATCCCTGCAGTACTCCTTTTCCCGGTTGTTCAAAGTTTCATATACTCGATCTATTGAAAAAAAAAAAAAGTTTAATATGAGAGAAAATATAACTCCATGTTAGCGCGATTAGCGAATACCCAAGATTAAAAATTCGCAAGCAACTGTGAAAGTTTGGGAGTTGCAGATCGCAGGTTCGAATACAAGTGAGGTCCGTTGGTGTTTCCGGAGGTACAAGATTGTTGGGAGCGAAGTCTTGTCGACGTCGGATTTGATTACAGGTGACCCTCAAATTTAGTAGGACACGTTGTAACAAAATTGCACGTGAGGGTGAGGTTTCTGGATAATAATAAAAAAAATTCGCAGGCAACCTATCACCCGCCAGAATAGCAATAATAAAAATCTCTGAACTAATCAGTATTATTATTATTTATAATAATCATCTATTAAAAAAGTAGGATGATGGCTTTTACGTTGTTGTTAGTGTCGAGTAATGCGGTTTAAGTTGACTAATGTCACCAGCGGGTGAAGGATGGGGCCCACGTAGCCCATCATTCACAGAATCACACAGCCCACGTAGCCCGCTCCATCTCCAACCACCGCTGGGAGGTCCCCACTTTACCGTTGGATGGTGCATGTCCGCCACGCGGCACCGTTAGATTTCCCCCGACTCACTGAGACACGATCCCCCCTCCTCCTTTTTTTGCCGTCGTTCCTTCCTCCACACCCGGCCACTCGCGAATGACAGAAAGGTTTGGCGCGCTCTGGACCGTCACCACCCCAAGTGGCAACCTTTCTCCCCACGCTCTTAATCTCACCGCCCTCCACGTTTGAGGAGGCTCCACTAATGTCACCGTCCGGTCACTGACACTCCCCTCAAATATTTTAAAGGAGGAGAATTCGAACCCCAGGTAGTCATGTCAGTTCCCAAACCCTTCCTCAATCCACAATCTTCTAGGCTCTAGCTACTAACAGCGTTGTTGTTATTATTTATTTATTTATTATTATTATTAGCGAGAGTGGGAAAAGGAAAAGGGATAGGAAGCTGTTCCGAGGAAAAAGATTACGTGGAGAGTAAGCGAAAAAAAAAAAAAGGGTTAAATTAGTCATAAACTTGGGTTATCTTTTTTTGAAATCATTGTCGCTACCTTTATTCAATAATCTTATCGTCAAATTGGGGATTCGGGGTGGGTTTTCAATTTTGGGCAGTGAGTGAGAGATTTGGCCTTTCCTTCAATTCTTTTTCTCCCCTAATTCTTATTTTATTTGGAGGGGCTTCTTCCTGGCTGGGTGGGGAGTGGTGGTTGGATTTGGATTTCGATTGGATTGGATGGGTGATGGTTTTTAGAGGGAGTTAAGCTTCACCCTGTTTTTGGTTGGAGGAAAGGGGAAAAGTAAGAAACTCAATTCTCAAGGAACCGAGGGAGGAAGAAATGCGGAAATCGTTTAAGGATTCTCTCAAGGCTCTGGAAGCTGATATTCAGTTCGCCAATACCCTGTATGTGCCTCAATTCTCTTTCCTCATCCATTCTTTTTCTCCTCTGCTTTTTTCCCACGGCGAATTGTCTCTGTTCTCTGGTAGCTTGATCTTCTACCGCTCATCCAATTTTCTTTCGCCGCCGTCATAGCTTCATCTCACTACCACTCTGGCTGCTTGCCCAAATTCCCAGCCGAAATTGTGCCCCTCCCTAATTCTTGGTTGTGTTCTGTTTTACCGATGAACAGTTGGACGAGAGACTGTGGGTGGCTTCAACTTTTGCTGTTTTCTTCCCTGTAGTCTCTGCTTGTACTAAATTTCTGATTCCACCCACAATTCAGCTTTCTGGGTTCCAGGTTTTTGCAAGAAACTACAATTTCTATTTTGTTTGCCCATGTCGGCTATATTTTTTTATTTTTTTTATGGATGATGAAAAATAGAGGGTTCGGCTATATTTTAGGTGGGTGTAGTTCTAGTTCTAGATCTCTCAGTGATTTGATTCCGCCATCAACTCGAGCTGCCAACCTCTTTTTACCCCTTTATGTCCCTCTTTTGCCGCTTCTCCATCTTTATCCCCGTTTCATGCGGTGGCGTAGAATTGTTCAATTGAGTGGCAGAAATTAGGTTTTGCTCGCTAATCCTAGTCCCGCTACAAAGTTTTGGGTGTTTTAAGGGTTCGATTTTCTCCACGTCATTCTAATCAGATCAGAGCACCAGAGTCATTTTTTACTCGCTAGATTCTTTAATGAAGTACTAGGTTACCCCAGCAGTACCGTAGCAGATGACGACTATCCTGCAAATTTCAGCTCGCCATAACTTTTCAAATTGCCCTGGTTTCTTCAAAGATTTGTTCTTTCCGATTATTAGTCGGTTGGGTTCCGTTATTTGTTTTTAGAGATGCCTGAAAAAATGGGTGAACTAGTGGCTGCACATTTCAGTTTTGGATATTCTGTTATGGATGATTAGGGTTTGTCGAGAGCGACCCCTCAAGGACGGGTTGCTTTCCGCTTGTGTAGATTGTACCTTCAATATCTGCAAGTGGGGTTCTCAATTGTTGGATATTTTGCTTTTGGTCAGGTCCTCTGTTTATCCTGCTGAATACGATGGGGGATGTCTTCAGATGAGGCTATCTTACAGCCCTGCCGCTCACATATTCCTCTTTCTAGTCCAATGGACCGACTGCAATCTCGCCGGAGCCTTGGGGTTGCTCCGAATACTCATCTATAAGGTACTAACTTAGTTAATACTCTACCTCTGCTCTTGTTTTATGTAATTCAGCTTGTACCTCAAAGCTACAGTTTCTTTCTTCACAGGCTTATGAAGATGGGAAGACAACGATGTCAGTCCAAGAGAGAAAAGCTAGCTTGAAGGAGTTTTACGGTCAGTTCGAGTGAAAAAAAAAAAAAAAAAAAGATTAAAATGTCTGCTTATGTGATTTATGAGCCTTTTGAGTAAAAGGGGATGGTGTTTGTTTCATGACAGGGGTGATATTTCCTTCTTTGATGCAACTCCAGAGAGGGATTACTGACGTGGACGAGAGGAAACAGAGAGAAATCTGCGCCAAATACAGGAAGAAAGACGAGACGGACAAAGGCAAGCTGACTGAGATTGATCTTGAAAGGGAGGAAGAATGTGGGATATGCATGGAGAACAACACCAAAGTCGTGTTGCCAAAATGCAGCCATTCTCTCTGCCTCAAGTGCTACAGAACCTGGTTAGTACTGAAAATTGCTCTGCCTGTAATAGCTTGAGCCCTCAACTCCTTAAATTGAAGGTTTTTTTGGGCTGTTTCATAGGCGAGCGAGGTCGCAGTCGTGTCCATTCTGCCGGGACAGCCTGAAGAGGGTGAACTCAGGTGATCTGTGGGTCTACACCAGCAACAATGAAGTAGCTGATCTGTCAGCTATAACGAGGGAGAACTTGAAGAGATTGTTCATGTACATCGACAAGCTTCCTCTCATAGTTCCTGATCGAATGGTTGTTTCCTATGATTTAAGGTACCAGTAGCAAGAAGTATGAATTGGGGGAAAGCTGATTGGGAATGGTTTGTTTGTGTACATAAAAATTAGCAGTGTTGGGTTATTTGTGCGTGGTTGCCTATTATTGACGCAACAACCAGTCATTTTTATTCTTCTGTTTGTGGGCTCATTTTTTTGTTCCGGTAGTGTAGAAGTGGGATTCATAGCCTGTAAATAATTAGACCTTCCTCATCTTCAGAAGTGTTGATAGAGTGGAAGCAACGGATGATTCGTTGTTTAATGGTAGCCTTGTTGATATGATTTTAACCTTGACTTGTGCTGATAGTTATGGCTAGGAATGGCATTGGGGAATTCTACCCATTGGGTCGACTTGTTGGTATATGGGCCATATGAGTATTGTGTAGAACTTAAAATGGTTTATGTGCTGATTTGGGTTGGATTTGAATTGAATTCAAATTCAATAAACTTATTTGGGTCAGACTCAGATGGGAGATTGCAAAAAAAAGGTATGGACCAAGGTTGTCAAACCGGTTTATGCCGGTGTGCCGGTTTTGAAAGTGGAATGGTCCGACCGTGGTACAACCAGTATTCACGCCGGTTGTGCCGGTTTTAATAAAATATATGAGACAAATGAAAATCCTCAATTCCAAATAAATTAGTCATATCAAAAAGCAATTAGAAAAATTATTTCACACAAAATAATTTATAGCTAAGAATTGGTAACTAATACTAAACAATTAGATGCTTAAAAATAAAAGTATATAAAATGAATTTTATTAATATTTATAATGATTTGTGTAAAATTTAGTGTTAGATATATAATATATAAGATTAATATGTACAACAAAGTTGCTTGTAGTCTACTGGTGTATAAGAGAGTCTAAAATGAACAGGAGGTACATGGTTCAAATCCTAAGGAGGGCATATATTTTTGGATAAAATAGGTGTAACATTGAATTCCGGTTTCTGGTCTAACCGGCCGGAATTTCCGGAATTGACCGGGTCTGACCGGTATTGACCGGATTTGACCATAGTTAAATACCGGCCTCTTTCCAGCCGGTTTGGTGACCGGTACCGGTTGTACCCGGTTGAACCGGCCGGCATGAGACCGGTTTGACAACCATGGTATGGACCATCTCAGTTGTCAGCTTAAACTTTTTTTGTTTCTTGCCATTAAAAAATAGGAGAAAAAAATGCATTCTAACTAGGTGTTCGTTTTCTTTTATGTACCCAATATAAGACTAACTCCAATGCAAGCTCTCCAATGCAAGCTCTCAAATTTGGGGATGAGATCCAATTGGGGTTTATCCACATTTTTCCTTCTTTTGCTCCAATGCTACATTCTTTATATTTGGAGATCTCCATTTTTTAAGTTTTCCCTTTACTTAAAAATGTACTTATCGAAGCCTTAATATAATTTGTTCATGTTAATTTTTGTAATAGTTCGTCATCATTTTTAAATATAAATTTTCCGGTAGAATTTTTTTAATTTTGAGACCAAATTTTTGTTGACAAAAAATGATTGACCTAATTTGGGTTTACACACAACACTTGAAAATTATTGATCTAATTAAACCCCTAACTAATCCCCTAATTAAACCCCAATTAACTCTTAAAATCTTAAAAAGAAAAAGAAACGTCACGTGGCGGGCTTTGGGGAGTCTCTATATTTGGGGGAACCCCCATTTCCACGGGAAAAGTTAATCTGCTAACTTGAAAATTCGTTAGCAGATATTAACTGATATCCAAAATATATGAACTAGTATCCAAGTATTAAAGTATCTAGAGAGCATAGACTAGTATTTAAAGTTTGCTAACTGATATCCACCATGCATCAACTATTATCTCAAATTCACAAACTAATATCTTGACAACACAGAATAGTATTCATACAGAACATAATTAGTATTCAGATAACGCATAAAAGTATCCAAATAACACATAAGAGTATCCATATTGAATACTAGTTGGTTGATTGTGGATATTAGTTGGTATCTGCTATCTGAATACTAGTTTGTGATGTTTTGAATACTAGTTTGTGCTATCTAGATACTCAACAGACTTGGATACTAGTTCATACATTTTGGATATTAGTTAGTATATACTAACGAATTTTCAAGTTAGCAGAATAACTAGGCTGCATTTCCACAGCCTAGTTATTCTGCTAACTTGAAAATTCGTTAGTATATACTAACTAATATCCAAAATATATGAACTAATATCCAAGTCTGCTGAGTATCTAGATAACACATACTAGTATTCAAAACATCACAAACTAGTATCCAGATAGCAGATACCAACTAATATCCACAATCAACCAACTAGTATTCAATATGGATACTCTTATGTGTTATCTGGATACTCTTAAGTGTTATCGGGATACTAATTATGTGTTATATGGATACTATTCTGTGTTGTCTAGATATTAATTTGTGAATTTGGGATAATAGTTGATTCATGGTGGATATCAGTTAGCAAACTTTGAATACTAGTCTGTGCTCTCTAGATACTTTAGTACTTGGATACTAGTTCATGTATTTTGGATATCAGTTAGTATCTGCTAACGAATTTTCAAGTTAGCAGATTAACTTTCCCCGCATTTCCACCCCCAAATTTGGGGATCATTTTGGAGATCTCCCACAAATATAGAGACTCCTCCATTTATAGAGGCTCCATTGGAGCCAACTTTCCCCCAAATATAAAGGCTCCCCCATTTATAGAGGCTCCATTGGAGTTAGCCTAATAGGTTCAATATAGTTCAAACTATATGATTTTGTCTTAAACTAAAACATCGGGGAAGTGATTTATCAGAAAACTCTCTCTTCTTTTTCTTCTCTAAAACGATATCAAAACCATAGGTGTCAAAGCATAGCCCGACCCGATTAACCCGCCCGATAAACCCGACCCGCAACCCGAATTGACTAAAAGTAAACAACCCGCAACCCGCCCGACCCGCAACCCAATTGACTCGCAACCCAACTAACCCGCAACCCGACTGACCCGCAACCCGATTAACCCGAACCCGATTGACCCGCAACCCGATTGACCCGAACTCGACGAACCCGTAACCCGACCGAGTCAACCCGAATTTCATCTAATCCACTTGAATAATTATAAAAATATACAATACATAGTTTTTCAAAATAAAGTTTTTCATTCTAAACTTAAGTAAAATTATTTGTCCATTTCGTATAGGAAATTTAAAAAATATGAAACTCACTTGATATTACGTATTTTAAGAAAATTACAAAAATTGAAACATGAAGGTCACTTGAGATCATGACAATATTAATATAATATATAAATTAAAATTTTGGTTAATTTAACTATTCAATAAAATTATCATTTAAATATAAAGTAAAGTAAAGTAATGTATTTGGTAATTTGATATTTTTAAAAGAAGAGAAATTTTGGTGTATTCAAATTTTTGGGAAGAGAAAGAAGAGGGAAATTTGGTTCTTTGAATTTTTTAGAAAAGAAACAAGAGGGAATTTTGGTGGTTTTGATATGTGGGAAGAGAACGAAGTGGGAAAGTTTGATTCTTTTAATTATGAAAGAGAAATAAGGAGGGAAACTATTGAGTTTTCAACTTTTTGTAGAAGGAAAGAATAGGGTAATTTGGTTCTTTCAATTTTATGGAAGAGAAAGAGGAGGGAAAATTGAGTTTTCCTAATGTATGGAAGGAGAAAGAAGGAGGGAAATTTTAGTATTTTGTGAAAAGAAAGAAGGAAACATATTTGGTGTTTTCAATTTTTTTGTTTTTCATTAGTTTTAGATTTTGAAATATGAATCTTTAACTTTTTATATGGAGAGCATGACTAGTTAAAATTAATCATATATGCTTTGAAGACATGGTCTTGCCACTCCTAGTGGTGATGGCGTCCAGCTGCTGGAGAGGGTCACGAGGATTAGGAACAGTGGTGGCAGGCAGAGTCCCCGGTGCCCTGGTAGTGTTCTGGCGAGCTAAGCTCCCAATCTGATTCTGTAGATCCTGCAGAATGGCACCTTGGTTCCTCTGGCCTGCCTCCAGTGAGGCTATGTTCTGATCCATCCTCGTGAAATTCGCCTGACTGGTGGTCATGAAAGCCTGCAAAATGTTCTTCAGATCAGCCATCTGAGTATCTGGAGCTGCGGCTGCTGGAGGCTGAGCAAACTGGCGCTGGGGCTGCTGGAATGGCTGCCCTTGCCTAGGCTGGTAGGGCTGCTGCTATGGTGGTGGCCCCTGCCTAGCCTGGAAGGGCTGCCTCTGCTGAAAGCCACCTGCTGGTGCTGGGAAACCAGGTGGTTTGTTGGTGTTGCTGCTCCAGGCAAAGTTGGGATGCTGGCGCCATCCCTCATTATATGTACTGCTGTATGGGTCCAGGCGCCGAGCATTTGCTATGAAGTCCACCTGCTCTTGGGGAGTAGAGACTCCCTCATAGACTGACAATCCTCCACCAGGTGATTCGGGCTCTCACACCACTGACACTGAGCTACTGGAGGCGTAGCTACACCTCGGCCCGGAAGGAGACTGTTAGGCTGCTTCAATGTCTGCACCAACTCAGCCACCTGCTGCTCTAACCCGGACCTGGCCTCCATAGCATGCACACCCCGGTCCCGGGAATTCCTGCCTCTGTTGTTCTGCCCCCAAGAATGATCTCGGGCAGCCAAGGTACTGATCATCTGGTTCAGCTCGGGTGGAGTCTTAGTAAGGATATCCCCTCCTGGGCATAGAGACTCAATCACCCTCTGGCTGTCTGGAGTGAGGGCGCTGTAGAAGTTCCCCACTGTGAAAGCATCGCTGAAGCCATGATGGGGACACTGCCAGAAGTATCCCATGTACCGCTCCCATGCATCACGAAGTGACTCATCTGGCTCTTGGCGGAAGTGAGTGATCTCCCTGAATCTCCGTGGTCTTCGATGCCGGATAATACCTGTGCACGAACTTGTCAGCCAGATCGTCCCAAGAGGTGATGGACAATGGGGGCTGGGTCTCCAACCACCTCTTAGCATTCCCCGCCAGAGAATGGGGGAAGAGGTGAAGGCGGATTGCGTCATCCGGGACACCGTTCAGCTTGAACCCGTTCGTCAGCTGCAGAAAACGGGAAAGATGTACCCGGGCTTCCTCATCCTTCAAGCCATGGAACTGGATAGAGGATGTGATGAGTTGAATCCAGCATGGCTTGATCTCGAAGTTGTTTGCAGGAATGGGCGGATAGAGGATGACCGGGCGGATGTCAGCAATCCGTGGAGTATAGTAGTACTCCAAGGTGGGACCCGGTGGTGGTGGATGATGATGGTTCCCAGCTCCCTGGGGATTTGGGTCGTTCCCCAGGATCTGGTTCTGAGGGGGTGGTTCTGATCGCCTTC